GGCGAAAAAGGTGAAGTGGAATAAAAGGTACAAACTTCCAGTTATAAACTAAAAAACCCATGTAGTATATGGAACATAGTCAACAATATTGACTATAAGTTGGCATGGGGACCTATGGTTACAAGACTTAGTGAGGTGGTCACATAGTAAGTCATATAAACGCTGAATTACTATGTTGCACACCTGACACTAATATACTATTGTATGCGAACTATACCTTAATAACAACTTTTTAAAAAGAAAATGTTCCAAAATTGACTGTTGTTATTGCAGATGTCTGTGAATATACTAAACACCACTGAATTATATATGTCAAATATGTAAATTTTATGGTATGTAAATTATATATCAGTAAATTTGTTTTAAAAAACTAATGGGAACACACTCGCACACATACACACACACTTGGAACAAACCTGGGATGTTAGTTGCGCCACAGCAGAATAGTTTTGGGATATTCCCACATCTCCCCATAAAATCAAAGCATCTATATATCTGAATGAAAATGCCTAGAAAGCATTTGCAACAAAACTAGGTGACAAGCTATCCTTACAAAACCCAAAATACAAACAGGTAGGGACAAACCATCAACAGCCAGAAAACATACATGGGATTGGCACTGTCTGTGTTGGCGAAAGCAGAGGGAAGCCCAATGGGCATGCAGACTGAGCTCCTCCTGGGAGGTGATGACTTAGTGACTAGATTTGTTTTGATTAAAAGGTATAAAACTATTTGCCTTTGTCCTTACCCTTTAGTATGAAGGTTTTTTATTTATTTATTTGTTTGTTTATTTACTTATTTGAATCTTCACCCGAGGACATTTTTCCATTTTTCGTTCAGATAGAGTGGGAAGAGAGAGAAACATTGACGTGAAAGGGACACATCGAGTGGTTGCCACCCCCACGACCCAACCAGGGCCGGGGACAAACTGCAACTGAGGTACGTGCCCTTAGTGGGAACCGAAGTCGGATCTCTCCAGACCGCAGGCCAACACTCCAACAGCTGAGCCAAACCAGCCAGGGCTATTTCTTTATTTTTTTAAAATATGTTTTTATTCATTATTTAGATAAAGAGGAAGGGAGAGAGACAGAAACATTGATATGAGGGATTGGCTGCCCCCTGCACGCCCCCTACTGGTGATCAAGTTCCCCCATGAACTGGAATCAAACTGGGACCTCTCAGTCCACGGGTTGATGCTCAACCCACTGAGCCATGCCAGCCGGGCCTTATTGTTTTAAAGATAGGAAAGTGTGGACCCTGAGAAAGAAGAAAGCTATTATAAGGGCTCCGAATGGCTAACCCGGCTCAAATTAAAACAACAACAACAAGAAAACACCCAGAGCCTAGCAGCTGCTTTCCCACAGGGGCCTCTCATGCAAACTACACTTTAGGGAAAAGCCCACACTAAGCGGCCTTCCTGAGCCATGCTTCTGGGCCAGCCCTTATAAAAGGGTTCCTGGAATACTATTTCAACCAATAGGACTGAAGTTTTCCCCAATCTGGAGTTGCACAGCTTAAACCAACCAGAGTAGCTCTTTTCTGACCATCAAAACAGTTCCTTTTGGACCAATAAAACTGTATGAATTTGGAGTCCCTATGTGCACGAGGACAGACCAATCAGGGACCAGCGGTGGGGACTCCTGTCCATATAAGCCGGTTCCCCATTGGTTCTGAAAGGGCATTTTGCTTTTCCACCAAAGATTGAACACTGCCTCGCCTAATCTGAGGGGAAACACCGAAGACTCACTGGACAGTGCAAAGCAGACTGGCAAGGAGCAGAGCAGAGCAGACCAGACCATTGAGGACCAGAAGAGAGCTGTATAGCCAGACACAGGCCTGGCTCCAAGGCTGCCTCATAGCTGTGCTGTTTTCACAGCTGTGCTGTATCACAATTGAACAATTTTGCACCGAATAAACTTTCCTTCTTTACTACACTCCAAACTAGGGATTCCAGTTGGTGTTGCATTGGTGCCAATGGCCATTGGTTGACACCAGCAACTTCCAGCAACCATTACTGATGGCCATATTGGAAGAGCCAGAGGGAAAACCAATTACAGAACCTGCCAGGGAGCTGGAAGATGCAGTGTGCACACTCCAGCCCCAGCGGAATAGCAGAGTCCAAAAGTGCAGATGGAGGCTGAGACAACTGGCGAATAACCAGCCATGAAAGTCACCCTTGACCAGGACACCAGAGACTCTTGGTTTGTATTAATCTTCCAGGGCTTATAGAACCTACCTTTTCAACATTATTTATACCTTCTCTTCTTGCTCCCTGGTTCTCCTGCCAAAGAATGATGGCCACTGTGCCCTATGGGATCCTTTCCTTTTCCAGGGCCCCTGCCTTTGCTAGTTCCTGAGGGCTACCCAGCCTAATGTATATGAGGAAAAGTCTTACTTGTGCTTTGAAATTCAAATGCCTGCTGTGCAAGGCCTTCCTCTCACTGTTCTGACTGGCAGAGGTGTGCTGGTAACACAAACAAACAAACAAACAAACAAACAAACCAACAAACCAACCATTTGTAGCAATTGCTTATTTCCATGAGATAAGATTCTCATGTGTTTTGCAGACTCAGCTGTAAACAGGTGAGCTTGAGGGAAGCCAAGGGTTAGTGTGGCTAACTGCAAAGAAGAAATCAACATGCATTTAACCAAATATACACAATGGCTAAGCCTCCCCTGGAGACAGCTTTGGACAGGAATCCCTTTCCTTTACTTGCTGTAAGTAAATAAAATTACCTGATGACAACCATGTCTGCTTCTTGAATGGAACACCCTAAGCTACAAACTGCTTGATTTGGATAACATAAATACTCCCACTGGAGTTGCTGACATTCAGTTTGGCAAAGCCTGTACCAGCTGAGGCTGCCTAGAAGCAGTGGTTCTCTTGTGAAATTCCTTAGCCGTCCATTTAAGGCTGTCCCATAACACTCACCACTTTCTACCATGAATTACAGTTGTTTCTGCACATGCCTTCAGGAAAAGCATCCTTATAGGAATAAGGTGTGGGTTCAAAAGGCAGCCCAACACTCACAGCAATGTGGACACTGACTGAAATCTCAGAGCTTCGATTTCCTCATCTGTTAAAGACAGCAGCAACTCTACATGGCAGGGCGGTTACAGAACTAAAGGTAACATGAGAAAGCATCCCACATAACAGTTCCTGGCACACGGAAGAAGTTTAATAAATGCTAGTTTTCTATCCTTCCTAGGCTTTTCAAATCTAGGAGAGGAGCCATATTATGACTCATTTTTTAATCACCCCAAGTATCAAGAACAGTACCTTGTAACTAAAAATTGCTGGAAAATATTCTCGTTCACATATCCATGGAGAGAATACAGTAGATAGCAAGGTCAGGCAGGGTGGGGTGGACGAGAGCCCAGAAACTGATGAGGAGGTGGGCTGGGCTGGTTGAAAGAAGAGAAAAGAGAAGAGGAGCACCAAGTGTGGACCTGCCTAAGCCCATCGTTTCCCTGGTGAGCCTGGAGGGCCTCTTTGGCACCGCCATTCCCTCGGGTGTTCTCAAAGCCACAGAGCGTGCACTTACTGCCTACTCCCTAATTCTGGCTTTGGTTACCTGGAAATCGGGGTCCTGGGCCATCAACAGTTTTCTGGGTGGTAATAATGACAGCAGCAGCATTTCTAAATGCAGTTGATGGTATTTCCATATACTCAATCCAGAGGTGCAGGGGAAGTTGGCAACAGAATGCAGTGGCAGGAAAAGTGCTCAACTAGGAATGCTGGGTTTTAAGAAATTTTGTACAGAAACGTGTATTTCACAATTTCTGGTCTCCTTGAGTTGATAGACACCTACAATTTAATATGCTTGGAATCTGCTTATAGCTTCAATCTGACATTTTTAATAAAGTTAAAGAAAGGCATTATTAGGCTGTTAAGTTTAGTAAACAGGCCTGGTGTTCAGAGGTCAGGGATGCTGCTGGCAGCTTTGTCTTCTCCCTGTGGCTGAAGATCAGTGCGCCTAATTAGCAGCTCCCTAATACTTTCTGGGGTCTCTCTTGACAACCTAGAGATCTATGGGTACCAACTTTTCTCTCCTCTCCTATGGAACCAGCGATGATGATATCTGGTATCCCCTGACACACCTCTGTGCTCAAAGTAGGCATTCGATAAATGCTTATGGAAGAAATAAATTCAGGTACCACATATGCGCTCACTAGACCAGCTTAATTCACCCCCATAACTATGTTAAAATACATACATTCAACAAACTGGCATGAAACACACATGATGTGTTCACTGTTTTTCTTTAGGCAGAGACTGCTATTTCATCCTTTCCTTTTCCTGGTTTGTCCTAATTATACCACTAACATTACCTTTTAATAAAATAATAATCCCTTCATTTTTAAAAGACACCTCAGTTGATCGTAGCACAGAAAAATGTGATTTCGACTTTAGCAGTGTTTTGGGGATTAGTGATTTTCTCTCTGCTGCTACAGTAGCTAAAGAAGCCAACAAAACAGCCCAGAGAACTAGTCAACTTTCTGAGGGGAGGCCCTCAAAGAACTTCAAAGACCTGGACAAATTTAGCACAAATATTTCTTTTCATGGCAACATTTGCCTGCCCCCCGCGTGCCACCAGTTGGGCTGGTTCGGAAACCTGGCGGCCACGGTACGCCTGGAGAAGCACTTCTCCGTACCCCGCGCCAGCCGCAACTCCGGGGCAAACACGCCGGTGCGCGCATGCGCTGCCGCCGCGCCACCCTCCCAGCTACATTCTTCGAAACCCGGGTGCGAGCCGCTGCAGTTACGCCGGCAGGGAGAGGAGGCTGAGAGGCGGGATGCTGGGAGGGCGAGGGAGGAGGCGGGGCGGGGGCGGAGTCGCGCGTGCGCAGTGGTCCGGCCGGCGCGCGAAGGCGGGGCCTCGCGGGCGGCCGGGGGCGGGGCTCTCCCGGGCGGCCGCCGCCGCCGCCGTCGCTCATTGTGCAGCAGGCGGCCCCTGCGCGTCAGGGCCCGGGACAGACGGGCTCCTGGGATGGTGAGCAAGGCGCTGCTGCGCCTCGTGTCTGCCGTCAACCGCAGGAGGATGAAGCTGCTGCTGGGCATCGCGCTGCTTGCCTACGTCGCCTGTGAGTAAGCACCCGCGGCGGGCGGGGGAGCCTCATTCATTCCTGGGCGCCGCCGCGGCGGGGCGGGGGTCGGCGGGCTGTGTGCGCCCCCGGGGTGGCCCTGCAGCCGGGTCTCCCTCCCCGCCGGGACCTGCGCTTCCTGCTCCCACCCTTTTCCCGGGGGTTTCGGACTCTCTCCCTTTCCACTTTTGCGGCAAAGCCGCCGGCCAACTTGGGTGAAGACCCTCGACCGGTTAGGCCCGGTGCGGAGACCGGGCGTCCCGGCGGAGCGGCCCTTGCCCCGGAGCGTAGTGACCGCGGGGTCCCGCGAGGCAGAGGCGCTGCCGTCCTTGGCCAACCCCATGCACCGCGGCCCCAGCCCACTGCCCCAAAGACTCCCCCGACGTGTGGGACTGTCCATGTCGCCCGGGAGCCGGCCGGCGATACCAGAGCGTGCGGCGTGGGGACACCCTGGGGACTTGCGCCGCCTGCCTTGTTGGTTAAGTAGGATAAAAATATTGTTGCTGTTGGCACACACCCCGGTAGAACTGTTTGCTCCGCAGGAAAATTACTCAGCATTTAACTGTTGGGGAGCCAAGTGTTGCCGGCCGCCGGCCGCGGCAGCGCCCAGGTGTGCGGGCGCGGGTTCCCGGCGCGGCGTCGGCGCTCCGGGCCCGCCCTGGTGGCTGGCAGCGCTTCCGAGTGAGCGGTTCTCCTCACTGTTCTCCCTCACAGTCGCAGCTGAGACAGGGCAGGTGTTGGCCCCTGTGTCTTACAGGCAGAAGCCTTTAAAAAATAAAATAAGATCTATTCGATGGGAGTATACTTTAAAGGTCTATTAGATTGGAGTATACTTTGTTTCTATTAATACTTTACCAAGTACCCAAATTGGACCAAAAATAGCTCCCAGTGTGAGCTCCGTTTGAATCCTGGCCACCAGACACACTGAAATGAAACCACCTGATAGCCGGTCGAGTTACCAAGCTGATTCCCCAGGTGAGAGGGGACTCCGGAAAGTGACTTAGGTTGAGCACAAGGAAGACGTGTGTGTTTAAGGCAGCCTGTCTAGTGGAGCCCAGCTGTTCCGAGGTGGAGCTGAGGAAGCCAGCAGGGCTTCTGGTTGCTCAGCAAGGTTTCAGGCTGGGGTGGGTGTTAGATGTGGGTAGTTTGCCAGGGAGGAAGTTGTGGTCAATTTTAAGAAAGCCGAGACCCAAGGGGAAAGATCCCATAAAGCTGCATAATTATTATGACAATAATAATAACACCAAAATTTGCTTAGTGCTTACCGTATATGTGCAGGCATGAGTCTCTTTCATTGTCTCATTTAATTTTCTCAACAGTACTAAACAGTAGGTACTGTAATTATTCCTGTTTTAGAAGTGAGGAAATTAAGGCCAAGAGAAATTAGGAAAATTAGTGGATGATCACACAGACGATAAGCTATGGAGAACCAAATTTTCAACCTAGAAAGGCCCAGGAACTGGGGCCTAGAGCCTAAGTCTGCAGCAGGTTCCTGTTGATTATGGGGGTTTCTACAGTTAGACTGAGGGTTTAGAATTCATAAGACATGGAAAGGTATTCACCATTCATTCAATCAGGAAATCCTACCAACTCCTTAATGCTGTGCTTGGCGTCAGGGGACACCAAAGAGGGCAAAACACTTAGGCTTTGCAGGCATGGAGTCTAGGGCACTGGGTCTCAAACTTGAGTGTGCATCTGAAGCATCCAGAGGGTTTGCAAAACGCAAGTTGCTGCCTTCTTCCCCAAGTTCCTGATTCAGTTGGTCTGGGGTTGGCCTGACGATTTGTATTTCTAATAGCTTCCCCCGGAAAGCTATTGCTGTGGTGTGAGGACCCCACTGCGAATGACTGGCCTAGAAGGTGAGATGGCCATAATTAGATATCACCCAAATGAGGGTTAAATTATAAACTGGTAGAAAGAAAGGAATATATAAGAGTTTATGACAGAAACTCTTGAGTTAGAGCAACCAGGGACATTTGTTTTCAGGAGGAATTGAGGCTTGAGCTGAGAATTGAAGGCTATGTAGGAATTAATAGGGAGGTGGAGAAGGGAATGTACTACAGAAGGAACAGCATGTGCAGGGGTCCTGTGGCAGCCAAGAGCAGGGAGTGTTCTGGGAATGCAAAGAAGAGTAGTGTCTTTGGAGTGTGAAAATGAAGTATAGCGATAAGTCTGCCCCACCAGACAGGGGCCGGAGCAGGCAGGCCTGGGAGAGGTCTGTGCCAGCTTGTGAAGTGGGTGATTTTAGCTGTGAGGGGTTTAAGATGACGGCAGAGGCAGTGTTACTAATGAGCAGGGATGGTAAATCTGAGACACTTTGCAGGAAAAATGTTACAGGACTCCTGATAGTGTCTGAGGACACTGAAAATGTTGTAAGTTAACAGTGACTTCTATGATTTTTAGTGTCTGTTTCTTTTTATTAATAATCTCTCCCCCTCAGTATGAGTAAAATCTCACCTGTGTTGACAAAACTGTCCATACTCCCAAATTACACACATTGTCACTGTTAGCCAGTTCCCCTTCCAGAAATACTCTCTCTGTACCTCTCTCAGGTTCTACTAGTCTTTCTCACTCCACCTGTTTTGTCTTTTGCCTCCTCTTCCTCAGTCTCTTTTGCCTTCTGGGGCCCAGGCTCCCTTCTTGCTACCACATAGTTCTGTGCCATGCTTAGGGCGGTGAGCATATGCCCACTTGCATTGCACCAAGTTCTTTTCCATGCATGTGTTTTCTTCTCAATAAAATGATCAATCCTTGAGGACAGGGATTGTATCTTACATGTTTAGCCCTTATGGCATTTAGATCAGTGCTTTTGGGTCATTGGAAGAGCTCTGAGGCCTGATTGTGTGAAAATCTGGCCCACCTTCGAGATGGCTCACTTGGCAGAGACTCAGCTCCAGTTACCCGTAGTGTTATTTAACATGCACATAGTTATAGTTTAAAAAGTCAAGTAGCCTCTGCAGGAGTTGTTAGGCAAAACAGTGTCCCTGGCCACTACTTTCTCCTCCCACAGGCAAGCACTTGACTTCTCAGCTGATTGTTTTGGTATTTATCTTTGTGCCATAGAAAGAGCTGCCTCTTGATATTTGTAGGTATTTGTTACCTGGTGACTTTATTGTTTAGGAGGTGTCTGTTTATTCTCTTTTCCTCTGCTCCCATGCTCACCAACAGCCCTCTGTGCCCCCCCCCCCCGCCTTGTAGATATGGTGGAATTTTGGGGAGATTGACATTTAGTATTCATGTGTATTACTAAATGCCATTCATGGCTTCCCTTGGAGCTAATTGGCTTTAAAGAAAAATATATATATTTATATATACTTTGCTTTTGAGGTACTATTACTGCTTCAACTCCAAACACTTTGTTGGTTGCTTGTGTCTTCCTGCAAGACGCTCAGAAACAGCCGGGCCTCTTCCCAAAGAAGGGTCTCAGCCTTCAGACCTGCTCTGCCCAGTGCACATTTTCTGTCTCCTAGCTTCCTCTGCCTTATGTCACACTTTTTCACACAGATGTGCCCAGGAGGGGCTTTTGGAGACTTGGTCCCTAAGTACCTTTTCTGTCTTCACATTTAATTGACAGAACAATAGTGTAGAATTCTAGAAAAGGGTTCAGGCATTGTTCCATTCCTTTCTGGCTTCTAGTGTTTATGAGGAGTTTCAGGCCAGTCCCTTTCTGTGTGATTTGAATTTTTTTCTAGAGGATGGCAGGATCTTTGTGCCCATCACCACACATTTCCAGCTCTCTGCCCCCTGGCCTTTCCTCACTCCTGGAGTTTGTGGCCTCATGAAATCACCATGCCCAGGGGCTGAGGGGGTGCCCGTTTCACTTCTGGGCCCTGTGGTTAGTTGTGAAGACAGGTTTCTCCAGCATTCCAGATGCCGGTGCTCAGTGTGCCACCCTCGCCCCCCTCCTTTAGAGTGGAATCACCCTGAAGGATTAATTCTTCGATGTTCTGAGCCTCTGAGGGGCCTGGGTGGCTGTTGTTGCCGAGCTAGGCAAAGCCTGCCTGGATGACGGGCCCTGTGCCCTGCCCGGGGTGCCTTGCACACGGGGTGCTGGGTGCCTCTGCGCCCTCGCCTTCTAGAAACTTGAATTCTGGACGTTTTCTTGGATTACTCTGGTTATTTCCTTCCCCCTATTTAACTTTCTGGGATATTTTGTGCTGATGTAGAATTGCCTGGTCTAGTCCTCTAATTTCCAATTTTCTCCTTAAAGTTTTGCTTTGCTTTTAGGAAACTTCCTAATCTTTGTATTCTAACTCTTCTAGAGATTTAAAAGTTTTTTATTTTTGCTGTTACTTTTCACTTATAAGAATTCTTTTATGTTTTCTGACTTTTTAAAAAGCTAAAAAAGTGTGATCTTTGTTTCATGGTTGTATTCTCTTCACGACAGTTTTATTTGTTCAGTTTTCTTCTCAAGGAAGAGTTTCTTTCCCGCAGGTCACTTCTCCTTTTCCTGGTGCGGGCTTCCCTCATCCGCTGGTGTTCGAGCCGAGAACTGGGCGGTGGGGAGCCCTGAGCTGCCCCTGATCGGAAGCTATGTCACTGGTATTGGTGGAGCCTCACAAACTGAGCACCATGCAACTGCCCCGAGCTGTGGCGACAAGGCTGTCCCGTGCCCTGCAGGCCAGGGAGGCCTGGCGGCCTGCGGTGTGGGAGCCCAGGAGGGGTTGAAGTACCTCGATCATCATCCCAGTTGGACTTGAGGCTCCCCAGTCTGAGACCCTCATTGTACCTTTTTCTGAGGTGGAACTGCCCTTCTTCTGCAGGGAGTGGAGCTGGCAGTCATATTGCTGTTTAGACAGATTTGAAAGTCACAGTTTCTGTCCTAGCTGCATTGTCACCCCATGTCCAAGTGCTCCAGGCATGATCACTCTCGACCCTTCTGAGGCAGCGAGTTAGCCTTTTTCATCTCATGGCACATAAACTAATTACTAAGATTCTGTGGCACACCAAAAAAAATATTTTTTGCTATCTGACAAAAAAACAAATAGGTATAATTTTGATTCA